AACCTGACCCATCAAACAGATTCCTACAGCTGGCTCGTACAGACAGCTGCCTTTTTCTTTAGCATGCTCAAATTTTAGACCCCGGCCCACTGCCAACCCTCAACATTTTTTCTTAATCTCCATGCGCCCTGGTAGACAAAATTTCCACTGAAGGCAGAGTGGCAGTGGTGGTGCCCTGGTCCAGGTGTTGGATGCTCTCCATGATCGGCGGGCCAAAATCTGGGAGTCAGGGTTGGAGTGCCAGAGCTCCTAATGTCCATTCCTGGTAACTCAGCGCCTCCACCCCCACTGGCCTATTTTATATTTTTCCAGTATAAATTCTCAGGATAGCTCAACTTCTGGAGGAATAAAATGGTCATTTTAGAAAGTGATTCCTGTGGCATTCCTTGGGCACGTGAAAGTCTAAGCCAGAGCTTTTTCCCAGAGGCTCTGCATGTGGTCCATAGGAGCAATAGGAATAGTTTATCTGACTCATCTTAGATAGCTGTTATAGGATGAACTGAATCTGGAGTGTCTCTTTCTCTCTGATGATCCTAAAGGGAAGACAGCTTGAGCAGCTCAGTCTTCGGGAAACCTCTGTGGGGCAGATAAGCCCCACCTCAAGTCTGCATCCATCTCTCACCTGCTGTTTTCTGAAACAGTTGCATTTGGAAGATACCTCCTGAGACATATACCACTGAGAATGGTGGAGTTGTTAATAATTTATTTTAAAGTTACTATTCCTGTGGAAAAAAAAAAAAAAACAAAAAAAAAACAAACAAGCCCCTAGTGTAGTTCATTCTGAGGTTTGCTGCTGCAAAGCCTCTTTCTAACACAGCAGGTGCAGATGCATGTGGAGTGCAGTACTATCATATTAAGAAAATGGAACTGCCTAAGCATATTTCTTCTGAGCTTCCAGAAAGATCCTGGAGGCAACTTCTCACATGAAGAACTTCAAATGGTCTGTTCATCAGTATTTAAAAAAATATCCACACAAACGAGTATTGATGCCTACAGTTTGCAAATAACTTTATGGAGGGTGAGACAATTTTTTCCAGGATCAATCTTCATATTAATTACTTTTAAAAAAAATGAACATTCAAAGCTATTAGGTCCAGGAACAACTTCATAATATCAGTGGCTGCAAAATGAAAAACGTGCATGCTAGCACATTTGTTCAATCCATGATGGCAAGCAGACACTGTGCTGCTGCTTTATGCGAATTCTAATGAAAGCAATTTATCTCATTTCCATCACCCCTAAGCCATTATTTATGAATCAGTCTTCAGATCTCTCACATAAGGAAGGAGGAGTCACTTTGGTACTGAGAACTGATCTCTGATTTGTGTCAGGAAACCAGCAACCAGAAAACAAGCTCATTAGCTACCACTAGAAATGTCATCTAGCAACAGCCACCCGTTCCATATTCCTCCCCCAAAATGTGCAGATCCCCTGGCTGAAGAGCCCTGGTCTTATGCTGTGCTGAGCAGCTGGCAGTGATGCCTGTCTGCACCAGCCCTCACTGCTCTTCTCCTGAGGAGCAGGACATCTCCAGGTCTTTTGTTCACCTGTGGCCAAAATTGGTGATGCCCTATGCTGTGCTGTTGTTTGGCCTGCAATGAACTCGAGGATTCTGGTTTGTTCCCCAGGGGTGTTTGTTTGTTCCCCAGTATAGCAGGAAAACAAAGCCTGTTTTGGCACTGCTGCAGGCACAGAGGCAGTGCCCTGTGCCCCTGCCTGCCTGCGGGAAACCTGGCAGGGAGGGCTGCCTTCATGCCATCACCTGAGTCCCCCTGATGTGACTCACTCTCAGTACAAATTAAGTGCCACTGGGCTGATTTCGCAGTTGCACTGTTTCACCCCAATGGGAGATCCAGGGCAAGGGGACTACAGGTGGATGTGAAAGTTTGCTGGTGCTGCTCCTTTTGGCTGGGGGCTCCAAGCCTGCCGCCCCAACCGGCCTCCTCCTCACCGGGTAGAGCAGCGGCACCGTAGCACAGGGGCAGGAGAAACTTGCACAGTCAGAAGGTTTTTTTTTATTATTCCACCCTGTCAATCTGGCACCTTGTAAGGACGCTATTTTCTTTTCCCCCTTAAAGAAAATAACATGGCTGTTTTGCAAATGGGATGGCTATTTTAACTTCTTAGCATGATTTATATTCCATCTCCCGCTGGCTGCCGTTGAGATTGGCCCAGTCCAATCCGCTACACATTTCTGATTTAGTACCGTCCTCACAACCCCTTGGTAACTTCAGCACAGGAGACAGGATGTTATCGAAAAGCTGGAGTGATGCATAGCTGCACCTGAGCACAGCCAGGGCAAGCCACACGCTGCTATTTCGGGAAGCTTTTATACCTTGTATTTTTTCTTTTCAAATGCACTCACATTGCTGCTTAAAATACAGAATCTCTGTTAAAAAAAAAAAAAAAAAAGAAAAAAAAGCTGTTCCGTTCTCCTTGGCAGTGTGTAATTACGGGAGAATGAAAATGCGGACATTATTACAGGGCATCTTTGTGGAGGCAGAAGGAGCAAGGAGATTGCTTGTGGGTGCAATGCCAGGAAACAGCTGGTGAGGCAGCAGGGCAATGCGGTTGCCTGGGTCCTGGGCCTGGGGAAAAGAGGCCCCTCATCCTTCCCCATCTTCACATAGGCCCTTTGGCTAAGCAATGGCTTTGCAGTCGTACTGCAGGCAAAATCAGCAAGGGTGTCACTTTTCACCAGAAATTAACACCTTCCTTTTAATTGCTGAGGACTAGCACTGTCTAATGGGCACTTGGGCCCAGCAGAAAGTGTTGTTCTCAGTATCTACGGGGGATGGGCTATTTCAGTGTTGTCCTTCCCATTCCTTTAATCTATTTTTTCTTCAAGCCTATGTCTATCTGTTTTGGGACCATTTTACAGAGTGATTTTTTTTTAACTAATTCAGCTGATAAACCAATACTGATACCATAAACCAACAAAAAGAAAACAAGAACAACCCCAAAACAAATGGACAACAGGAAAGTCAGGATTATCAAGATGGAACGGAAAGAGACAGAACCATAGCAAACAATGAGAAGCATCAAATACTGACTACTAGCATGAAGGAGTGTCTCTAAGACATAAACCCAGAGCTTTCCTTCAAAAACAGTGAGTGGAAGGACATGCTACCAAGGGCTGCCATTTTGAAGGGACTTCGGCCAACTCATTGGCTTAGAGCTTACTTTAACGGCTTATTCATCTGAATTTATGAGCAGGTTATAATATAAATGGATCCCTTGGAATCCAATTTACTTCAAAATCAAATCTGCAGCAGTGAAACTACTCGCAATTAAAGGGGCCACTTATCCGTGACGCAGGGTCTGAGGAAACCTAGTCCAGAATTTATGTAACCTCATTGTAGAAGGGAAGGAGGGAAAATCCCAGAGCTCAACAGGCCATAAGAATGGGTTTTCAGGGAAAAAAAGCACCTAACAGCTTCAAGTAGAATAGGAAAATCAGAATCCAAAGTAAACTGTATTCCCAGTGGTATCTAAACACATGCTTTCATACAAGTAGATATTAAAGTAGTTCTGTGAAAGAAGAGGAAGAAAATCAAACCTTCATTGGGGTGGCTGTATTTCATCAGGTTAGCATTGGTTTGTACCAAAATCAAATGTCATGAGCCTTGTTTGTTTCAAATTATGAGCAATGAAGAAGCCTTAATGGAAAATTGGTATTGCAGAAGTTTGGCCCATCACAGTACTCTCATTTTTGAAGAATAACGTCTAACAATTTCATTTGATTTTTAACACACTCTTTTTATGCTATGCATGGCTTCCAATATTGCCCTTTTCATCTCTAGGTGTATTTATTCCTAGTGGCCTCTTAGATGGATATTCCTGGAGACTGACAATATTTGGACCCAAATGTTCAAAAGTTGCTTCTGATTCTTGGTGACTGAGTTTGTGACTGAGTTGTGTCTTGACTTGAGATAGCTTGGATTTGATTTTTAAGAAATTGTGAAGAATCACAAAGCCAGCTGGACTCAGTACATTGATCTAGCACACATGAAAAGAGTAGCTTGCAATATCTCAAATTCATCACCAAGATACTGAGAAACCAGAAGCCATAGCAAAATTTTTTTCACAAACATTTATCCACGAGATGAGAGTTTAGGTGGTTATATCTTTGGTGCTTCAGTATCCCCCAGCTTCCGACATTGTGCTGGTCTATGCTGGGAAGGCTGGCACAGAAGTAGAAGAGCAGCTTCTAGTTTTAGCTCAGCTGGCCCAGCAATTGGTGTCTACTGTCAATGGGGTTTCTGTGGCATGCACTTTTGGGACTGAAAATTGGATAAGAATGGCCATCTTGTTCTACATGGTACACCCAAGACTGATCATAAGGTAAAAAATTTTGGGCAGTGACAAAGTAAACTGACTTGGAACAAGGCACTGGATTCCAACAACTAAACCCATGAATTGCAAGCTTGGCTTTTTTCTTAGACTTCTTCCTAGAGTAATATGTATAACCATTGTATTTACTGGAAAACGGAGGATTTTTTTCAGGTCTATATTAATTGGGTCTCATATGCTGGATATATATTGCGTCAATGGAAGAGCCGTGGGCTCTGTGGGTCCGTCATGTTTCACTTGCAGGTTACCAGTCACCTCTGCATCTTGTGTTGGTTTTTGACTCTTTTAGAACTGGAAAATTGCTTTATAGTTTAAGATTTTATGTGCATTTATAGAAATTTAGACATATAAAGCTGGTTTCTGAAAACCTCTAAATAATCTTTCCAGGCTACTCAGCAGTAAGCCTTCATTCTGCCAAAATGTGTTTTTATCCCCTGAATCCCTGTGACACAACTACACTGGACTGTCAGTACCTTTCTGCTTTGCAGGCTATAGGCTTACATTTCTTAAATGAAAATTAATGTAAATGAAACTCTTCCAGTCCACATGGCAAGACCCAGCGTGTGCAATTATGGGTGCTGCCCTTCTACCACTGCCCTTCTACCAAAAGCCCGAGATAAGTGCACTTCTGTCTCTCTCTTACTTACTTTTGGGTGGAGAGGAAGAGGATGCTGCTGTAGGAGAGGGAGCAGGAGAGTTTGTTCTACTTGTACAAGCTGAGAAGTTGCTTCTGCTAGTCGGGACATCTTGCTGCGCAGAGCCCTCTCTCGAAGTGTCTCACGCCTCGCCAGCCTCTCTGCCCTGGGCTCTCCTGGGCTGGGAGGAGACACGTCTCCACCCTCTTCTCCTTCCTTAGGGCTTTTCCATGGGGCTTTTCTCTCTTCCTCCAGCTCCTGAGCACCACCTGGGCTGTGCCGAGCTGGGCCAGACCTGCTGGTGCTGAAGGTTTGGGTGTGGGAAGGCTGTGGGGGGCTGCAGAGAGGATGGGGGGCTGCAGCAGCCTGGAGGGTACGGAGAGCCCTTGCCTGGTGTGCAATGCATACAGGTAGAGTGGCTGGTCCAGCCATCAGGCTCCCCACCTCCAGACCTGGGTGCAGCGCTTTAAACCCTGTTTGGCCCCTTCCCTCCCTCTTTCCTCTTATCTCAGGCCCTGCGGTGGGTGGCTGCCTGCCCCCCCTTTTTTTTTCCCCCCCCCCAGCCTGGCTTCAGCGGGTTGAAACCTGCGGGTCCCCAGGAGGGAAGGTGGGTGGGTGCAGAGCTCGGCAGCTCTGAGCCTTTTGCACAAGGCGGGGTAAATCCCACCATGGTCCCTGCTGGAAGCGGGCTCACCAAGGCTGGCCCGTTCCAGGGGGTGGGGTGCACGTGGAGTCAGCCCTCCGGAGGCTGCGTTATAAAGCTGAAGGATTTTACAACATGTTTTGATGTGTAATTTAAAAGGAGTGCAAGGGCCAGGAACGAAACCTTTCATTCCAAACCCCTCCCGGTTTCAGGGATGTTTGGTGCAGATCTGGTCAATGCTCCTGCACCCCGTGCCAGGTGCCTCCCAGTGACACCCACACTGAGACCCCTGGAAACGCCCAGGCAGGTCCAGCCGTCAGGTTTTCCACCAAAAAGCTAGGGCTGCTGATAAGTCTTCTCAGCCTACCTTCAGTTTTATTACCCTTATTATTATTCACAACCCCAAAATGCATCCAAACCCATCAAGCTGACAGTACCGCATTTGGGGCACGGCAAAAAGAAAAAAAAAAAATCTCAAGTAAGAACACAGTGGGGTTGGAAACGGGAAGGCTGAATGAGCCCCACCTGAAATAACTCCAAAAAAAGGCATTTCTGGCTTTGGCAAGCCAGCCAGAAGGATCCTATATGTTTTTGTATATGGTTCCCAGAGGATTTAAAACTGTAAGATTTGATGCTAAACCTATTTCTGTGCTGTGAAACCAGGGACAGCTGTACAAATATTTGCTGTTTTTAATTAAACCTAACATTGCTACTTCCTTCATTTAAGTTAGGTCAAAGGACTGGCAATTTTATGCTTTGATAGATGAAGAAAAACAGTGTGGGTGTTGTGTTTTAGAAATATGTTATAAAATAAGAAGTCTGAGGGAAAAGGCCTCAAAGGCTATAATAGCACTACCCTTGCGCTTTCTTCTCAGAGATGTTTTCCTTGTCAAATATTTTGCCTTATCCATATAGCAACCATTTCTACTGTAATTCTGCTCATTATTTTCCCTTGAAAGACTTTTATCTAAACTTTCTATTTGCTCCATAGTTAAACTTCAGGTAGCATTCTCTCGGATTTGTGTTCTTTATAAATTTAGATAAACCTTGTTAGGGAGAAATGAGGATGGACACTCCTGGTCCTGTTCTCTTCGGACCCCCGGTCACTGCCTCAGTCACTTGGCAGAACGTCTCACAGCAATTCCTTCTGGAGAAGTGCTGGTCTTTCTCCTGCTCCTTGGAGCACAGCTTTACTGTCACTGTCTCTTCCAAAATTATGTCTATCAATCCCATCTCAGGGCTAGAGATAAACTATCAGTTCGGAGGCTCATTTTTTGTTCACACAGCAAAGACCAAAGAGCACCAAGCTGGGACTAGCAGGGGAAAGTTCCCATTTCAGCTCCATGGCTGGTCTGTTGCTTGTCCTGGGGCAAGTTCCTCAGTCTTCCATTATGGGAAATGAGGATAACGACGCTGACTCCCATGCTGACGTGTTTTGGGACCTGTGCAGTAAAAAAGGCGGGTGTTAAAGTTCCTCAGGCTTTTGGAGGAGGGCAAAGATGACTTAGAATTAAGCAGGAATTTTCTGCAAATTGTCTTTTTGTCAAAAATTCTGGATTCATGAACATGCATTGTCTGTTGGAGAGCATCCATTTTCACCATTTTTTGTTTTAAAATCAGTAAAAAAATATTTAGCAAGTCAGAATAATGCATTTAAACACTTAAGCATATATTTTAAAGTTTTCTTTTATTTTTAATGCAGTTTTTTTCAGTCTGCTTTTCAGACGAGGTATAGACAAAAGGCACCAAGGAGAAGTAAGATAAGTGAATTGCCTGTGTTGATCCATATTTTGTGTTTTGGGTTTGTTTAGATGTTAATTTACAAAAAATTTTGATATTCCAACTTTTCACCCTCAGTGAAAAAAATTCAGATTTTCTGTGGAAAAGTGACATTTCTTCCCCTTTGGTACATCTAATAGAAAGAATGGAGGGATTGTCCCTTCTACCTACTTTGATATTTCCCCTTTAAAAATGTCGTCTCACTGTGCTAAGTAAAATTAGTATTATAGGATCTAAAGGTCTTCAGTATGTTCTCAGTGAAGTTCTTTGTTATTATTATCAATGTTAGCATTATATTACTACTACCAGCAGTTTTATTGTTGCTGTTGCAGTGGTGCTGAGCACAATCAATCAGCATTGATTTCTTTAAGAAAAAAGCTTTTTTTCTTAAAGGCATAAACCTCATCCATCAGTTGAGAGACCTGTAGGAGACTAACAGACTAGACTGGCATCAGTGCAGGACCCATGGCAGGCACTCAAACCAAACTGCGAATAAGGTAAAAGAGTAGAGAAGTCAGCACAGGAGTGTGAAGAGGAACAACACAGACTTGCACTTTATCAGCTTGCTCACTTTCTAAGTGCTAGAAATATGGTCTTCTTAGGTGGTCTGAAGTTTTGAGGTGGATTAACATTTTATAAAACTTTTTTTTATGTAAAACCATAAAAACCTCTAAACCCTCTTACAAACCCTTATCAGGAATTTTCTTAGAGAAATATTATACATGGACAACTGCAAAAATGAGAAGTGGAATTCTGTCTTTATTTCCAACATCTGCCTCCCTACCTGCTTATTGTTTATCTATGTACCATGTGGAGCCCTGAAGATATTGAGCCATCAGTCAAGCAGAGAGTAAACCAAGAGAAGATACATCATGAGTAATGCTGAAGAACTCATATGCTGTGACATCTACATTCAGTACTGCTAGTACTTCTCACCTTATAACTAAAGCTTCTAAGGCAGAATGGGTCTGTTAACTGTTTTTAACAGGGTTCTAGTGTGTATCCATAAATCCAGAGGTTCTGCTGCTGTCCCATCTGCTTTGCCAAATCTGAAAGGGCAGAAATGGATGTAGAGCTTTTGCCCCGACTCCCAGATGTATACGGAAAAGTTAAGTTTGTCCCTGTTGTATTTCTGGTATAACTAAATGTATTTTTACAGTCAATGAGTTTTCCTCAATGAGTTAACCATCCTTTCAGAAAAATAAGATGAATAGCTGCTTATTTTAATCTGGCAGCACTTTGAGCAAATACAGCATTTTTCTGTCTCATGTAGCTCAAGGCTAAAAACCCAAAGAGCAAGAAAACTCCTCTTCCCTCCCTCCTTCCAAAACGAAAGTCATGTTTTTGTGGGATTCAGCACAATCTGTGGGATTTATGTTGCACCTGTTGAATTCTCACAAGAAATATCAATTAAAATATTGTGACTTTGGAAGGAACATAGGAAATCTGTGGGGATACTCAAGCTCCATGGCTTTTCTGCACCTGCAGCAGTCTGCTGTCCCAGCTCGGTGCCTCTCGAGTGAGGAGGGGCTGCCGGGCCAGTGCCACGCGCCGCTCCGTTTCCATCGGCACATGGGGAGAAGCCCATTTCCCCCATCTGTGCTGTGCTCACTGTTTCTTGTTTGAGTTGGCACCCGCTGACGGTATCAGGACAATGAGGCCTCACAGACACTGTGCTGGAGCGTTCAGGTGGCCTGGATTTGGGATGCTCTTGCTGCCATTGAGCGTCTGGACTGTGAGGGGGGAAGGGGAGGCTGAGATCTTGTAGCAGTTAGCTCCAAAGGCAAATCAAACCTGAGAGCAATTTTTTTAAATCTCGAGTGGCTGTGAGTTTGTAAGCCTTTGTCCCCAGATGGTGATAGTGGGATTTACCAGGAATGGTTGTGTTTTGCACTGCTGTTGGTTGCTGCTGTTGCTGTTTGCACATTACAGTGCTGGTGGGGTGGCCCTGGTAGAGCAGGACCTCAGGGAGAACCCAGGGTCGGGAGAGACCAGGAGTCCAGGAAACCTGCTACATGGGTTCCCAGAATGTGTTAATCTAATTTGAAATTATTGGGTTGTCCTAATCACATCTTTTTCTCTCCTCTCCTCTCCTCTCCT